ATTGCAAAGACCATGGCCTGTGTCAGATGCACCTTAGACTCCAGAGTGACATAATTGTTCTTCAGTACTTTGGAGAGGTCCCTGACAGTAGATTTTTCCATTGCAAGACATCTTTTCATTTTCTGGCTGCTGATGCCAAGAGTGTTGACCATGGAGCCAAGCAAACTAAAGCTGTTAACAATCTCAATCTCTTCACCATCCATCCTGATGCTGCCAGTTGTCCCAGTAGTGAAAATCTTTGTCTTCTTGACATTGAACCTCAATGCATATTGAAGGCTGCAGTCCTTGACCCTCTGCAGCAAGTGCTTTGGATCCTCCTATTTCAGCAAGCAGGGTTGTGTCATCTGCCTAACACAGATTGTTGATCAATCTTCCACCAATCCTGGTGCCACATTTCTTAATATGTGATTATAGTACAAAATATGTCAGTATATCATTATATTGTTATTGTTGTTGTTGTTGTTATGTACCATCGAGTCACTTGTGACTCATAGCAACCCTATGCACAAGAGCCCTAAATGCCATTCTGTCCTGTCCCAACTTTGCCATCTCAAACACAGTCATTCCCACCACTCCACTAAAAGAAGAGTTCCATCTCATCGAGGGTCTTCCTCTCCTGTGCTGTCCCTCCACTCTCCCAAACATGATGTGCCTCTCCAAGGACAAGTCCCTCCTTGCAACATGCCCAAAGTATGTCAGACGAAGCTTCAGAATCTTGGACTCCAAGGAGCATTCTGGGTTCACCCTCTCCAGAACAAACCTGTTTGTTCTTCTAGCAGTCCATGGTATATTTAACACTCTTCTCCAGCACCACAGCTCAAAGGCGTCAATTCTCTTTGTGTCTTCCCTATTCATTGTCCAACTCTCCGATGCATAGCATTAATTGCAAAGACTGTAGCCTGGATCAGGCGTACCTTAGTCTCCAGACTGATGTCATTGCTCTTCAGTACTCTTGAGAGGTCCCTCACAGCTGACTTTCCCAATGCAATTGGTCTCCTGATTTCCTGGCTGCTGTTACCAAGAGTGTTGACTATGGAACCAAGTAAACTAAAACTGTCAACTATCTCAGTCTTTTCACCATCCATACTGATGCTGCCAGTTGGCCCAATGGTGAGAATCTTTTTCTTGATGTTGAGCTTCAAACCATATTGAAGACTGATGGCTTGAGACTTAGGCCATCACATCAGGGGATGGTCAATGAGAGACGGGTGTTGAATGTTGTAGGCAAAAGT